CTTATTTAAAATAAAAAATAAGTTATTTTTCTATTTTAAATAAAAGTTATTATTATTTTAAATAAATTAATACATTTTCGGATTCCATTTTTTATTTTATATTTTTAAATAATTACTTGTGATCTATTTCTTATTTAATATTTTAATTTAAAATTAAATAAGTTATATCAGTTGTTTTATCAAGCCCTGGATAAAATATGATGACAGAGCTTTCAAATTATAGTCTGTTTGTAATCACAAATTATCTCTCAATATTCAAAAATTTCTTTCATAACATAAATGAATTTCCGTTGCCAATTACAGATTATAATTACTGGCATATATTTAGAAAAATAGATACTTTGGCCAACTGGCATACCAATACAATGTGAAGAAACATTATTACAAAGAATGTCATAGCTATAATACCATCTTCAAATTTCTAAATATAGATTCAAAAATACTAATTCCATTTAGTTCAGTCTATTAGAAACATTTAAATCAATTTCGAAGTAATTAAATGTACAGAATATTTTTCAAATAATTCTTTACATAAGTATCATATTGTCTTTAATTCCCATATTAATATTTCTTTCCAGTTTGCCAAATATATATATCCTTACAAAAATTTTATTTTAACTATTTAACATCCAGTACTTTTATACTTGTATTCATAGTCAGGCCTTATATTTAAGGCTTCCTTAAATTTATCTTTAGATACTCTATGAATTATTTCATTGGCTGCTGAGCATCTAAAGATAAATTTAAAGAAGCCTTAAGTACAAGGTCTGACTATGAATATGGGCATTAATACTCAAAACAAGTAATTCATCAATAGTTTTCAATATTAAATTGACTAATATTAAATTGAATTTTTCTAAGAATCAAAGTCCTGGCTAGTGTTTTAATAAACTTAGAATACAATTCTTATTTTTCTTGTTACATTAACGAAATATAATGATAGAACATCTCAATCTATAAGTGATTGCATTCATAGCAAAGTGATAACTTTCTTCATAATCGCATTCACCAATCGAAGAAAAATAATCAATAACAGATGTTATTACCGAATGTAAAGCATATATTAGTTACAGTTATCATAATTGATAAGTCTATTCATCTCCTAGATAAATCATAGAGCCATAAGTATTTTAAAAGACATACACCAGTGTAAAATTACAACGCAACGACGGAGCGTTCACCTGTTGCGGAACTGCATTAATAGGTTTAAAACAGCATGTATAAGCACGAATAATCGATCTAGAATCATGAATCCCGGTCGTTATCAAAAGGCCATCAAAATGCGACCTTCTCGGAGGAGAAGGAAGGGGGTGAATTCGTCACAGTTTATCGGGAACGAGATCACGACGATGGAGAAAATTCCGAGATCCCCCGAGGTGCCCGATAATTCTCATAAACGTTCCTTAACGTCCATGACACATCATCGATATCATGTTTGATAGCAATGTGAGATAGCAGAGAACGGTAAACGATGCATTCGAACGCGGCACGCGACAGTGTGCGAATAACGGAAAATAATTAACGTAACGCGCGGCCATTCACAGGGATGTTCCGAACGGGGCGGAGTCATGCGTAATGAGCATGTCGAACGTGTACCTTATCGCAGAGAGTTTTCACTTGGCTTTCTGTCAGTTGTTTGCAGTCGTTTAATTGTTCTATCCACTGGTCAAGTTCCTTGAGCGACGCCTTATCCTCCATCGTACTTGTTCCACAATTTTGCACGGGAAGTTAACGCAGTCGTGCGGTCGGTCGCACTCCTCACTAGCGCATGTAATCCGATCGCCCGAGCGTATCCTTTAACGCGAAGCTAAATCATCCAAGTTTATCTCCACCACTGCACGCCACTGACCACGAATCCCGTAACACAAATAACTCGTGAAAACGGATAGCGCTTGTTCACTGCAGTCACACAAAATGGCTGAACGCTGAGCGCTGGCGCGATGATGTCACGGTGTCACAAAGTAATAAGAAGGAGATCAAACTCGAGGTCTGAAAATGGGTTCGAAACCATAGTATAAGCATAGTCTAGATATACAGTTGCAACACTCGGCATCTTTGTAGAGAGACAAAGTCACGTGATTTGGCCATTTTGAGAACGCGCTCACATTTAATATTTAGCTAAATTACGACAATGAATATTTTTAAATAAAAAATGCATATGATACAATGTATCACAATAAATTATTTCATCTTTGTTTAATATTGCAAACAATAAGGATAAAATAGAAAATTGTTTTAGGCTATATCATCTATGTTTCTTGCTGGAAAACCGTATAGTAAATGAAATTATAAAATAAATGGATGCTATTCATTTGTTATAAAATGTACTATTATTGAAATGTGTATGTTTGTGTGTGTGTGTGTGTGTGTATGTGTGTGTGTGGTGTACACACACAATGCGTGTATATACATATAAAAGGTGTTTATAAGTATATTTTTAAAGGAAAATTTTACTTTATTTAATAATCATAATAACCGCTGTTCTGGAAAAAATAAGTAATTAAGAAAGAATAATATAGAATTAAATAATAGAATATAGAATATAGAATTAATAAATAAAAAGTTCTTAAAAATAAAATTAAAAAATTAAATTAAAATAAAAAACAAAGTAAAATAATATCCATTATTTAACAATTTCCATTCATTATTTTACACAATTAATACCGTAAATTCACATATATCATTTTGTGTTTATTTTTCAAATATTTTTACTTTTACTATTATGTTCATATTGTATTATATATGTAATCATTAAATATTATACATAATAAATAAATAAATATGTTAAGAAATAAATATAGAAAAAAAAGTATGATTAGTAAACAATAATAAAAATTATCAAATAAATAGTGTTAATAGTTGTAGTAAAATGAAATATTCAATCACACAATAAAAAATTAAAATTAAAACGATTAATATAATTGTAAATTTACTTGTATAATTATAAATTTACTTTTTATTAAAATAAATGTAACTTTAAGTACTACTACTTAAAAACACAAATCTTTATCTTATCTGCTTTAAAAATAACAATTCATTGCTTTAAACATACAAATTTTCTGCATTAGCAATTTGTGTTTTTAAAGCATAAAATTTGTGTTTTTTAAAGCAGTGAATTTATATAATTAAAGCAGAAATATATTATGCTGTATCAAAGGGATAACAGATACCTTAATCTCTAAAGTCTCGAATTAATTTTTCTTAAATTAATCTTTAATGCTCGATTTACCGCCACGTTTTTCTGTCAGATACTTTCGTTTCATGCAAAACCTTGTTGAAGAAACGTGTGTGAGATAAATTTCATAAAAATCAGAGGTGAGGACCCTCTTCTAAATAATTACTAGAATGAATTTTATTATTCGTTCGATACTTTGATATCACAGTGCGTTCTTAGTTTGATTAGATTATAACGCAGCTATCTTCTCTGTGATACAACTGACGCACGCGCGTGACGAATTTGTTTCATTATAAAAAGTGGTGTGTCTGATATACTTAGATTGTGATATAAGTACATACAGTATGGACGCTAAACTTTTTATGTGATCTCCAATTTTTAGTGCGCATGCGTCGATTTCCAATCAGGAATATGGCTGTCTTCAGTAAGTTGAAATTGCAGGTTAAGTTAGATTAGGTTAAGTTAGTTGGATCTCTTTCTCAAAAAATATAATTAATATCTTTCTCTTTCGTCTACAATATCATGTAAGACTCATAAGGAAATCGGGTCAAATATGAGTATTATGGGTGAGAGCCGTGATACGTCTTTCATACAAAGCTTAATTTTTTTTTAATTTATAAGAGAAAAGTAGGACAATAAATTGATTAATAAAATAAATTGGTTAATAAAATTAAGTTGCACTAAAAAATTAAATCAAATTTTTTCGAGATGCTATATTGTGTAGACTGTTATATTTATATACGATAAAATATTCTCGAAATAAAATATATATTTTTGTGCGTATATTATTAAATTATTACATGTATAACTTCATATTTAATTACAATTTTCATATAGTATTGCAATATATTATTT